GCGGCCGGCAGCTGCCCCTCGGCATCTGCAGCCCCTTCCCAGCTCCCTGACAAGCACGACGGAGCGTGTTTCAGAAAGCGCACTTACTTACTTACTTACTATGAGGGGAGGGGACAGGAGGAGAAACAGGTACTTTCAAAATAACACACGTACGACTTCAGGGTGGCTGCAGTGTCCTGCAGCCGCTGTTCCTGCAACGTGAGCAGGGCAGGGAGAGTTACATCACTAGACACAAGTGCGTCTTCTGAGAGGCCTGAATAGTAACTTTATTTGCTGCACTGTGGCTTTCCCCGCCTGTGAGAGAGCAGAAAGCAACGTTCTCCAACGGGTGCAGTTCCTACTAAACCTAATCCAGCCTCCCCTGCAGCCTGTGAACAGGGTTTTAAACAAATAACGTAGAATTAGAGCTCGTCGCTTTGCCACAGAGCCTCTGTAACGCTGCGCTGAGTTATTCGACCGTAAAGGCTTGCAAAGTCTAGCAAGACAAAACCACATGCCAGGGCCTGCGCCTCGGTGCGGCTGTACGTGCTCTGTAACACTGAAAGTGCGTGGGGTCGGCTCCTTCCAGACTTTATTGAGATTTGTCTGACCACCTGTGCTGGCCAGGTCTGGCTTCTTAAACTGTCACCGCCTGGATCCAGATAATTTTAAACAAGCAAAATAGATACTGAACAATTTTGTGTCCCAGGTTGGTACAGAGGAATTAACAACTGTTCTGCACATGAAGCTACAGCTTTGTAAATCCGTGTTTGTGCAAGGCAGAGGTCTGCTGCAATGCTGCAGAACAAGCGGAGGAGCCCGGCTTCAGCACCCCCCCTGAGACGCAGTTCGCCTCCTCCGGGGTCGGCTCCGCTCAGTACACCGTGCACCAGTTGCTGCCGTCGCTGGGCATCAGCCCGCCGGTGATGAGAAGGATCAGGTCAACGAACCACCAGATGCCCAGTCCTCCGAGAGTCAGCAGTTTCCCCACGGCGGTCCCGGTGTGGCCCAGGCAGAACCGATCCACTCCGAAGCAACCCAGGAAAAACGAGTAGAGCAGAGTGGTTATAAAATAATGTCCAGTGTACC